TACCAATGCATTTAAATAGTTGCCAAGGTAATTTGACAGCTGTTAGAGTGTATATTACATATAACATATTTTTTTTTGAGTCACTCGATCCTTAAGAATCAAGTTTACTTATAAATCTTCAGTCTTTGAATTTACATTTTTGAAGGAAATAAATTCAAAAGCAAACGAATGTTTGTAAACATATTAAATCACTATTATACAAATACATCACAATACAAATTGTACAAATCTATTACATTACTTATAATTATATAGTATCTACTATATGTCAAACCATCACATCAAATAATTTGAACTATAACAATCATTCGCTTCTCACTACAGGGATCTCGGAAACGGTAAGAGGTACAAAGTAGCTTAAATGTGGGCAAAGTTGCGTAATCAGAGGACCAACATTATGCCTCTAAAAAATCAAGGCTAACATGGTTATTTTTCGATATTAAAAAAAAACGAGATTTTGGAAATCCGTTTTTATTTCATTTCAGCCTTGTTTGAGAAGATATTAAAAAAAGAAGAATGCTTTCTTATGGCCACTTTTTACTCTCTATCGAATGGCATAATCAATTTTTATATGAAACGTTTCGCCCCTCCAGGACCATCATCAACTTCATGTTTTTAAATACGATCCTGGAAATTTTATTACATTTTTTGCAAGCCTTCACGACCCCCAATACTGTACTCCCTCAGCCCGAACCACATTCAGACGTTTTGTCTCGAAAAATTCATCTTCAGTGCATTCGTTCCAAATTTATCAAAATTTTTTATTTATATTTCTTTGTTTATTAAATTATCGTACACTGTAAGTATCGGTTGAACCTGTGAAATCCATGTAGTTATTTAAACTATTACCATTATGTGGAAACAAATAAAAAAAATATTAATAATTTGCTGTGTTATACTCCATTCAAATTAAATTAAATACAAAATTATAAATGCGTTTCTAGCTAAAGACGGAATACTTTTATTGATATATATTTGCAAAGTATACAATTATCTACGTAGTGCGAAAAAATATGTAAATGTATTATTTTTTTCTAATTTCTGTATTGACTAGATGCTGCTAATTGCTTACAATAGCTGTCAAATTATTTTGTCAGTAATCCTTTCCTAAAATTCCCCGCTTTATAAACATATTTTTTTAAATGATACTTTACATAAAATTCGTAACGTTTTTGTTCTGTGTCATCCCGAAGGTTATAAAACTAAAATTACAAGGCACACTATTCAGTCATATATTTTTACAATGTCAGGTCTATATTGATGCTGTGTCGATTAATAATATCTTTCAGATCAACTTTTTAAACTTTTATGACTCATTATGTCGTCAATGTGTAATTTACCTATTGTAAATCTTGCTGATACTGATGATGTCACCACGTATGACATCACCAGTGTGTAAATTTAAAGCTTTGGTCTTTTTCGACCTTATGGAATTCTACAGCTAAGATTTATGATTTAAGTTTTAGGTAATTTGATGATTTTTAAAATAAAAGTAAGACAATTTACCATAAAGCCAAAAAGACATAACTTACGTATTAGTTTATAAAATATGAAAATACAAAAGGAATGATTTATATAGATGAAACTTGCGTATTAAATACATATTATACTATATTAAAATAGACGGAAATAGTTTAATTCACTGTTTAATAATTTAATACTTTTAATTAAATAGTTTTGTCAGTGTACGTTGTCCATCCTGGTACATGCCAATTCTTGTATTATTGCTTTTGGATATTATAAAGACATATGCTTTTCTGAAACAATTCTCGGCTATAAACTAACTTTTTAATCGATTTACAGTTTATTTTATACAGGTAACAGTTTTATTGTTTCAAATATTGCATGGAAATTCCCGTATTTATTAGTTCCATATAATGTTCGTCGAATTAATGTAAATGCATTATTGTTTATTGTTAATTGACGTCGGTGACAACTTGCACCTTTTATTTAAGTGGAGGGAATTTTTCATTTTCATCAGGGTTTTTATTTTTGTCCTATTAGAAGTAGGTAAAAGTAAAAAATTGCTGTCATGATGTTATTTGGTTTTTCTGCAGGAATTGGTAGATCACGGTCAATTATTTTCCATTATTTTTCTTCCGTGTAGATATAATTTATTTTCATCCGCAAAACAGTAATGTTATTGAAAATTATTAGATATATGTATTTTTTATTGGTAAAATTGGTAGGTCAATTTCCCCAGAGACTGTTACAATCGGCTTCAGAGATGGGTCAGTTCTACCACCAACTGGATTTTTTTATTCGCCTATAATTTTTTTAAAAGTGGCTGCACTATTAAAATTATTAGTTGGAAAGGTGAGTCAGTTAAATATATTTTAAATGTATAGTGTTAGTAGTAATAGATCTCAAAATAAAAAATGCACAATCAACCACTGTGTCCACTATTATTTGGCTAGATTATTAATTTTATTTTTAATTTTAGAGACCTGATCATTAATTTCTATCTGTTCTATGCGATAATTTTTTTAGCATACCTATATACCGGTGTCAAAGAATATATACGTCTATTTAATAAGAATAAGAAAAAAATCGTGAGGATAAAATTTATTTTATGATATAATTGTCTTTCATTCATAGAATTGTATACGTGGTAAAAATGGTAATAGTAAATTAATTATCACCTATACAGGGCGTCCCGAAATTCATGCAACAAAATTTGGTCATAGATTCTCAAGACAAATTTAGGGGACCCGTATTCTTTCTTTTTGCCAACTGGCCCCCACTTTCGGAGTTACAGCCCCCTGAAGTCTGCCCCTAAGAAGTCTTTTTTATATCTCAAAAGCATATTGTACGAGAATCACTAAATTTGGTGCACCGGGGTTTTATGACATGTGGAATCTCACAGTGCTACGCTTTTTTGCGAGAAACCCCCTTAAGACACTTTTTCGTGCCCCCCCCCCCTTGTCTTTGGAACCAGAAAAATTTGGCCGCAAATTTGATTTTTTTTTTTTTAATTATTAGTTAACTAGAAAGCCATTAAATTTAGAAACTTTTTTGTCCCTTGATATTTGTTTCGTAAACCGCAATGCTTTTGAGGTAAATGGGGAATCACGATATGCATTCGATCACATTTTGACATTTTTCTCGAAAACATTGCGTTTTACGAAAAAAGTATAAAGTGACAAAAAGTTTCTAAATTTAATGGCTTTCTAGTGGACTGATAGTTTTTAAGAAATTTATATATGCGACCAAATTTTTTTGGCTCCAAAGACAAGGGGGCCCACGAAAAATTGTCCTAAAGGGGTGCCCCGCCAAAAAACGTTGCACTATCAGATTCCACATGTCATAAAACCCCTGTGTACCAAATTTAGTGATTCTCGTACAACAGGGTTCTGAGATATAAAAAAAAGATTATCTGTAACTCCGAAAGAGGGGGCCATTTGTCAAAAATAAAAAATACGGGTCCCCTAAATTTTCCCTAAGAATCTGTGACCGAATTTTGTTGCATGAATTTCGCGACACCCTGTATTTAAATAAAATTGTAATTGGTTAAGCTAATATTATAATATAAATAGTGCCACAATAGAGTTGTTGACTTGTATATTAATTTATGATTTATTTTTATTTCAAGTCCGAGACAATCTTTTATTTTTTCAGAGGGATTCCTAGTGTTAATAGTTTAATAATTGTTTCTTAAAATTTATTTTTATTCCTTGAAGAACTGCTAGTATTTTGTTAAATGTTTTCATAACAACGAATACATTATACAATGTTATATCATACAAGACTACAGGAGCAATAGTAAAACTGATAAACTTTGAATGAAACTTTGAAATAGATCACGTTTCGTAATGGATATTTCGTGGCAATATTTTGTAAAATAAAGATAACTAGTTCAACAAAAAAGACACATTAAGACTTTCAACAACAAAATACAAGTAACTCGAAGAATTAAATAAAATGTAACCAAATTTTGAACAAAAATGTGGGCCACATCAGGGCCATTGAATCCCAATTTAAATTAAGAATTTCGGTTTTCGAATTTTAAACTAATTTGAGTAGTTAGTGACTGGAAAAGTACTCGAATTCATCGACCTCATTGCACTATAACACCATTTTTTTTTTCTAAAATTGATACGTACTTATTTCCTGAGATAATCAAAATCATCATCTTCTGTGTGCCCAACAGAAAAGTCATGGTACCATGTTAGGAAATGAAAAATGGGATTTAGGTAAAATTAAAAAGACAATCAAAAAGCATTTCTAAACATTCACATTAGGTCCATAGCAGAATAATAGTTACAGTGTATAGAGAATATATACAAGACTTGATATAAATTAAATAAAAAACAATGTCGCTATGACTGTGACAGATTTCAAGTTAAAGGACAATAAATATCATCGTATGAGAGCACAACACAAAGCTGATGGTAGTATAAAACCTTACTTAAAAGTTCATAATAATAGAAGATAAAATATAATAAAAATTTATATAATATATATA